TAGGAAAGGTGCCATGCTCTCTGTGACTAAGGCCCCACAGGCTTCCCACGGCGCTGCTTCCTCCAGGATCCCAATCTCCAAACTTCATTCCTTCAAATAGCTACACCCCTCTACTGGCCTCAAGATAATCTATTGGAAACATTCAGGGGAAGGCCAACTCTGAGATCAGAGTAGGCCAGCACTATCGCCCCTTGTAGTTCCTGTGAAATATCTGAGACAGGCCTCAATCCACTTAGAAAGTTCATTTTGCCAAGGTTAAGGATGCACTGGTGACATGTGCCAAGGTGGTCGTGGCAGAGCTTGCTTTTGTATGTTTTAGGGAGACATGAGACATTGATCAATACATGGAAGACGTGCATTGGTTTGTCCAGGTGGGACAACTCAAAGCTGGGGTGGGGTGGGGTGCTTCCAGGTCACAGGTAGATAAGAGAAAGAGACAAAAGGTTGCATTCTTCTGATTCCTTGACCAGCCTTTCACTGAATACACAATTTAGTCTGGCTCAGTGAATCTGCATTTTTACATAAGCAATTGGGCAGAGGAAGCAATCAGATATGCATTTGTCTCAGGGGAACAGAGGGCTGACTCTCTCCCTCATTAAAGATCAGCTATTAGTTTACATCTCCAGGGTGAAATCCAACAGAGCTGTTTTAGGGTAAAGATCTTGAGTTCCATAAGAAATTTGTGAGCAGATCGTGAGGGAGGTAGGCAGCTTTTTACATCTTTGTAGCAATCTGATTTAGGAACAGAATGGGAGGCAGGTTTCCCTGATGCTGTTTCTAGCTTGACTCTTCCCTTAGCTTAGTGATTTTGGGGTCCTGAGATTTATTTTCCTTTCACGTGGCCAACAGGAGCCTCAGGATTCGGAAACCCACCAGATCCAGGGTCGTCACTGCTGCCGTATCGGCCATCACCTGGAGAAAAGACAAAAGTACTTACTACCTGCCACCAGCCAGCTCAGGCTCAAGCTGAGACAGATGGCAGTGCTGGCTCTTTCAATCCCACCTATGCGGCAAGACCGCGACCAGTGATCACCCGTGGGCTTCTACTGGACTGTAATGAGACCTGCTTTCTTATGCCCACCACCTGCAAAGCCCAGGCCACCAGGTGGAACTTTTTATTATTAAGATGGCAGCCATCTTGCCCTGAGCATGCACTGAATTCTGGGATTTTTGGGCACAGTATTCTATTTCACCTCCCTGCTACCAGTGGGGCAGCTGCACTTAGTGGCCCCACCATAAACAGGGTGGAGGGCTGTGCCAGGAGAGCCTGACTCTAAATTTTGCCACCACCACAGGTCTCTGGCATAGCCACTGCCTCAACTATAGCTGAGGTCGTTCTTGGAACATACACAATTGGAGGCTCACAATCCCATATCCACTATTTTGAGATTCAAAAGTATCTGAAGTACCACGGAGATGGAGAACAGATGAATGCTGGCAGGGGCTCGTGAGAGTTGGGAGGGAGTTGGCTGTGATTATAAATGAGCAACAGGCAGGAGCCTTGTGGTGACAGACTGTTCCGTATCTTGGTGGGCACACAAATCTACACACACTTGCACACACCCTTTCCCCAGACAGCTACTCCCTGACAAGCAACTGGTGCCATTTCAGGACCTTAATTAGCATCGAGTTCACTGTTTATGCCACCTTCTTCTCAGTGCTGAACGCTCATTAATGGAGGAAGACTGTGTTCCCAGAGCCCAGGGTTCTCAGGGGAAACCACCCTGGGATGCTGAAGGCAAATGAGCTCCAACATTTCTTTCACCAAAGAGTCAGGAGGAATGGTGGTTCATGGACTGTAAAAATGTGCCACTCTGGCAGGGCTGGGGGAGGTACTGACAGCTGGGGAGGCTGTGCACATGTGGGGTAGGGGGAATATGAGAACTCTCTGTACCTTCCTATTTTTCTGTGAAACTGATCCAAAAAATAAAGCCTATTTTTAAAAAAAGATACTTGGGGAAAAATGAGGTTTGTTATCTTCCCACCTAAGGCTGAATCCTTGAGCTCTATGCATTTCATAAAGAGCCCTGATTGGATATGGATGGTTACTAACAAAACCAAGAGCACCAGCATTTACAACACACAACACACTCACTCACTCACACAAACTCACATACACACTCATACACACGCACACTCACATACACATACACACACACACACACACACACACACACACACACTCATTCCTGTTGGAGAAAGCATAACAAACAGGAATATGGGGATCACCGTGCACGGCCAGATTAACAGAGAGGTCCCGTCTGCTGTGCTGGAGGTGGCTGTCGTCATGGCATCCTCTGTTAATGAGTTCATGTCACTAGACTTCCATTTTTTTCTGGACTCTGAGTAATTCAACCTTTTCTTTCACCTCAAGGCAGAATGAAACTGAGTGTTCTCAAGTCTCCTTTCCCTTAGGAGTACTTGGCTATGAGTATTACAGCAACTTAAACATCATAAGACTGCTGAGCAACAGGCTGTGATAAGAAATATAAACATTTCCCCCAGGGACAAATGGAGAAAAGGGCTGACCTCCCAGCCTTTCAAGGACTCAAAAGCTCAATAGTTTACAACTCCAGTAGTTCCTAACTATCTGACCATGTGTGATTGCAGGAGGTCCTGTCTTGAGACAAATAAAATGTGCTTCTCTTCTTCCTCAAAAAAAGTGATCCCATCCTGTGAGCAAGTCTTCTCAGATGGGCATGTGAACTGAAAACACTGTGAGGTGAAGGAAAACCAGCCAATCATCTTAGATCCTGTTCTTTCTCACTGCATGAACCTGAAGTCAGACACACAGGCCTGCCACTAGAGTTAGCCAAGCCAACGGCATGGCTTTGAGCCATGTTGGGCTACTGAGTTCTGCTCACTTTCTCTAGGCACAGGCTGAACCCAGGTTACTTTACGAAATGCACACTGTGCAAAAGATGGTACTGGTGATGAGTTATTGGCATAAAATAAATTATCCAACCCAATACCATCCATGAAGATCAGTTCCCAGGAAAAATAAAGTGGATGAAGGCATAAAAGCACTACAGGAAAATTTAGGGGTAAGGAATTTCCATTATCTTGGGGTTAAAAAAATGACTTTCTAAATACGATACTAAACCCAGAAACTCAAAATGGAAAAGATCAGATCAAAAGTAAAAACTTCAGTACTAAAAGTGCAAGCAACAAAAGAAAAATGAAATTGGGCTTTGTCAAAATTACAAATGTGTGTGCTGCAAAGGACATCATCAAGAAAGTAAAATGACAACCCACAGAATAGGAGAAAATATTTGCAAAATATGTATCTGATAAGGACTGAGTATCAAGAATATATAAAGAAACGCTTCAGCTCAATAATAAAGAGGCAAATCATCAAATCTAAAAATGGGCAAAGGATGTGAATAGATGTTTCTCTAAAGGGACATAAAAATGGCCAATGAACACATGAAAAGATGTTCAACGCCATTGGTCATTGGGGAAATGCAAATCAAAACCATAATGAGACACCACCTCATATCCATTAGGATAACTATAATCAAAAAAAGGAAAAGGAAAGGAAAGAAGACAAGAGAAGGGAGAGAGGGGAAGAAACAGCAGGTCTGTAAAACGGAACAGCTGCTGTGGAAAAGTTTGGTTGCTCCTTAAGAAGTGAAACATGGAAGTACAACATAACCGAACACTTCTTCTTCTAGATATACATCCGAGACAATTGAAAACATGTCTGCATAAACATTTGCACGAACATGTTCATAGCAGTATTCATAAAAGTATAAACAACCCAGTTTCATCGACTGATGAATGAATAAATGAAATGTTTATGGAATATTATAAGGGCTTCCTAATCTCTAATGTAGAAGGAGCCCTTAAAATATATGAGAAAATATGCAGACACAACAGGCAATTCACAAAATATTTTAAAAGTGTCTAATAAGACATTGAAAAAGTGTTTCACCTCTTTTAGATTCAAAGAAATGCATATTTAAACAGGATAGTGCTTTGTTCTGAACAAATCTGCAAACATGACAAAACTACAATGCCCAGTGGAGGTGACAATTTGAGAAAACAGGCACCTGTTTACATACTAGTGGTAGAAATGGAGGTTGGCACAACCTTAATGGAATACCGTTCAGCAGTACCACTCAAAGCATCGCATCTTTTAAGTGTCTACCTTCTGTGGCTCAGCCATTTGACTGCTGGGAATTTATGTAACAGAAACAATTAGGTTGTGCATATTTGGCTAAGACAATGTTCATCACAACACTGTGGAGAGTACCCAAAAGCTGGGGGTGGGGGAGTCTCTCTACAAAACTAGGGTCCTGGTTAAATAAATGATGGTTTTTCATAATATAATGCAATCACTGAGATGGTATTTTAGAATATCCTTTAATGACACAGAATGATATTCAGGGTATCATTGACTAAAAAATGGTTTCAGCATAGCATGATCTCATTTTTATTTTTTAAAAAACCACAAATATTTACAAATATATACTTACACAAGAAAAAGTATTCCAAGCATGCAGTCAGAAATCTTACTAGTGATTCTTCCTGGATCATGAAACAACAAACAAGTCTTTTTCATATAATTTCCAAGAAGTTTCAAATCTGCAAGCCCCACATGCAAATCCATTCACCCCTCTTTCCCACAACTGAAGAAGAGAGCTCAAAGAGGCGATTTCACAGGTCACTGGTGGACTCTTCAGTTTCAGTATGTTTTGTATTCCCACCTGCCTTCTGAGTTCACAGTTACATACCAAAGAGACTACAGTAGCTTTCTAGTGAACCAGAAACCCCCTATACAGTGTGTCACACGCTGCACTTTCTTTGTGTATAGATACCTATGGATATAGGTAGCTGTATGGACTGCCATAGCTCTAGGGACTGCTACTGTTGCTATAGCAACACCATAGCACTAGGGACTGTCACCATAGCAATAGTGACCACTGCCATAGCAGGTCTCATAGCTATAGGAACCTCTCTAGCTATAGCAACCACCATAGCTACAGGGCCCAGGAGAACAGAAGGCATGAGCCCCGTGAGAAAGCTGTGAGTAAGCCCTGCAATCAACAGAAGTGTCAGACCCTCAGCATCTCAGATAAAAGACCAGGATGTACACCACACAGAGCGGCCCTTCTCTGACAGCAGCACAACCTGGGCTCACGGTGAGTGCCTGACCCACCTGGCTGCCAAGGGAATGGAGTAACGTAACCGTAGGAAGATTATAACTCTTAAGTGTCCTAGAATTCTAACAGACATGGCTAGGGCTTTTAGCTATTTTACAAATATATTTTCATTATCTAAAAAGATGACCAAAGTGCAAAATAAAAACAAATTTTTAAAAAATGAATAAACAAACAGAAGAAAAAACTTGCTTCAAATGCCCCATAGTTACCAAGTTAAAGCGAACTGAAAAAAATCTACCAAAACATAGCTGCCTATGCTAGCCACCAGGGAGGGCATTCCTCACTGTTCCAGAAAGTCTCCAAGGCCCAGATCTTATCCATCCCCCACCACAGGGATGAGAATGCCCACCCTCTAGGTAATATAATGGGCATCTCCTTCCAAACTGATACAGAACCTTAAAACTCTCCCTGTCTTATGTCAAGCTCCCAAGATACCTGCAAGGTGGTCATCTGGGAGAAAACCCATATTCATGCTGTGTGCCCAGGTATGTGTTTGGGGAAGGGGAGTCTGAGAGAGCAAGTGAGTCTCTTCACATCACAGAACACCAGAGCCGGGAAGCTGTTCCTTACATCTGAAACATCCTATTTCTTTAAATGTTATAAAAGCAAAAATGAATGTGGAAATAGGTCCAAAGAAGAGAACACTTGGGTATCTCTTTTTAGAACTAATCCTATCACAAAGACCCAAGCTTTAAGACCTCACATAAGCCAAAGGCCCCACTCTCCAAATACATCCTACTGGGAGTTAGGGTTTCAATATGTGAATTTTCAGAAGACAAACATTTAGTCCATAACAGAAAGGGATCATGAGAGGGCCCAGATAGTTGAAGACAATGACTGTAAACACAGTGAAAATGGAAGAGAAATGTTTTCTTCAAAGACCCAAGAGGGCGAATGGATAGACAAAATGTGGTCTAGCCACTCAATGGAATTTTCAGCCATAAAAAGGAAGGGAGTGCTGGTGCATGGTACAACACGGATGAACTCTGACACTGTGCTGAGTAAAATAAGCCAGTCACAGAAGGACAAATATTGTATGCTTCTACTTCTGCAGGGTTCCTAGGGTAGTCCAATTCACAGACAGACGGAGAAGAGAAATTACCAGGAAGGATGGGGAACAGGAAGTGACTTTTTAATGGGTACAGAGTTTCTATGTGGGAAGATGAAAAGGTTCTAGAAATGGATGGTGGTGATGATTGTACAACACTGTGAATGTACTTGGTGCCACTGAATTGTACACTTAAAAACAGGGAACAGGCTACATTTGGAGGAAACTAACACTCAAAGTTACAGTCTATCAACTGATGAGAGTCAGTACCGTCCCCTTTAACCCTGTGAACTAAGGTGAGGGCATTCACACCTCACATTTGGGTACGTCTCCAGATAGCTCATGTATGCAACCAGACGCAACGGTAACAGAATGTCTGTATCTCTTTAGAAGGAGGGGTTTTTAGTCTTGCCTCAGTGTTTAAGAACTGCATGCTTTGGCAGCTAAAAAAAAATGGTGTTTTGGGGTAAAACAATGTGCCCAATATATTCTAACATTTTCAAAATAATTTTTTCTGATTAAGAAAAATGAGGCAGGGTTTTAGTCCTGTGATCCCACAGTAGTTATGAACAAGTGGTGTATAGCTGAGTGAGCCCAGCATATGGACTGTTAAACCCAGGAGGTGGTGATCCAAAGAAAGGTCTCCTTCAGACCCCGAAGGAGAAGTTCAGGTAGGGCTCTTCTTTTGATGGTGTTCTGTGCAATGCATGGAGGGTTTGCACTTGGAGCAGAAGAAAAGCTTATTGTGAAGACATCCATTTCGTACCAGCCAAAGCCCCTTGAAAGAGCTGTCACCGAAACTCTAGCTTTGAGTGGACTAAGAAGTTTGGGAAAGGTCTAGAGATAACAAAGGAGTGGGTAAAACACCTGGCCAGAGCAATGGAGTAGACACCGCCCAGGGCATCCTTAAACAGCACAGAAGGAAGACTCTCCTTGGGGATGCGGAGAAAGGAAAGCAGCAAATGGCCTCTCTACCCAGCCAGCAGTGCTCTTGGCCCCATTTGGTTCCTCGTGTCAATTTATTGCAAGTTTTCTGACCATGAGGCCAGTGAGGGTGATCTGGGAGTGCTAATAACACCCTTCTCCCCTCCTCCCATCCAGGTTCTTTACCAACTGAGAACAGATGCAAGGAACCAGAGAAAGATCAAGGTAAGCCATCTGCTTGATGAAGAGGCTAGACAAATACGCCAGCACCCTCAAGGGCAGGCCTTCTGTGTACTAGTTAGAAGACACGGCCTGAGGCCACACAGAAGCTACTTGCTACTTCTCTACCATTTTCCTTCTCATAAAAATCACCCCAGAGCTCATATGGGGGAAAGCTGGGCTTACAGAGTGGACACAGAGCTCACCTGCTGTCTAAGAGTGCAGACTTCCCCAGCTAGCAACATGGTGGGCCCTGGCTCTCATACTCCTTTGGGGTTCTAGGAGAAAGCGTGTCATGGCATGATCCCACCAGTAATGTGGCCCAGAGGATCAGCAGGCTCACCCTGGCTTCGCCAATCAAAAGTGTCACTCTAGCCTTCACAGGGAGGTGTGACAGAGAAGGCAGAGAGCAAAGTTGGGTGTTTGGTCCATGGTCCTCATGCCGGCAAATCTGCATGGAGGTGTCGGGAATACACAGGAAGCCCAGTCTAGCAGAAGCAAAAAAGATACATGCCGCCCACTGTGGTTCAGAATGGCATGTGCTATTCTGTACCAGCAGAATGATAGAAGCTCTAGGAGAGCCCAGAGGCAGCAGATGGAAGCTGTGTTGCAGGGCCAAGAGTGGGCAGGAAGACAGGGCCACAGATGGGGGAAGTCTCCTGAGAGGAGGGGATCTCAAGCACTTGCTAGAGGATGAGTGGGAATTCGCATGGTGGAAGGCAAGCAGTTTAGACCAAGGAACATCATGTGCAGGCACTGGCATATGTACCTACTGGCCTTTCTCCATGTTTGGAGATGACAGGAATGTGGTGGTCTAGGGCAGAAAGAACATGCCAGCACACTAAGGGGCTTCAACTTATCTCATAAGCCATGGGGAACCTTTAAGGAGGCTGTTGTTGTTGTTCCTGCTTCTTTAATTTTTTTCACCAACATCTAATTAAGAAAAATTTCAAACATACAAAGAAGTTAAAAACTGTGCAGTAAACACCCATATCCCCAGCACGTAGACCTGTAGTTAACATTCTGCATCATTCACTTTATCACGTCTACCATCCCTCTTGTCAATCGATCTAGTTTTACTCGTGCATTTCAAAGTTAAGTTAGAGACATCAGTAGACCTCAACCTATGGTTACTTAGCAATTTATTTACATTTGCTTATGATTCCTTTTTTAAGGTAAAATTTACATATAGTGAAACACACAAATCTTCCATGTACCAGTGGATAACTTTTGACAGATGTACACAGCTATGAAACTGAGACCCCTATCCAGATACAGAACATAACCATCACCACAGAAAGTGATGCCCAATTTATCTTGTTCACACACCCAATCCCAGCAGCCACAGATCTCATTTCTGTCATTATAGGTTAGTTTTGTCTGTAGTGGAACTTCATATAATTGGGCTCATATAATATGTACTTTTTTCACTGGCCTCTTTTACCCAGCATATTGTTTTTGACATGTATCCATGCTCATTCCATTGTGTAAATATGTAAATGTGTCACAGTTTGTCAACCAATTCTCCTATCAATACCTGCATGTTTCCAGGTTTTCTTTTGTTTCTATTGTAAATCAAGCAATGAGCATTCTTGTTTACGTCTTTTTTTTTTTCAGAGTGGGGCAGGACACAGTTTTCATTTCTCTTGAATAGGGAATGAAATTGCTGGGTCACAAGGTAGGTCTATGTTCAGTTTTAGAAGAAACTTTACATCCCTACCGATGATATATGAGAACTGCAGTCACTCCATATCTTCATCAACATTTGATACTATCTTTTAAATTTCAGTTATTCTGGAGGATGTGCTGTGGTATCTCACTGTGGTTTTAATTTGTATTTCCCCCAAAATTAATTTTTTTAAAAAGTATTTTAGGTTCAGGGATACATGTGTGGATTTGCTACACAGGTAAACTGTGTGTCATGGGAGTTTGCTGTACAGATTATTTCAGCACTAGGTTTTAGTTATTCTTCCTGATCTTCCCCTTCCTCCTACCCTTCACCACCTGACAGACCCCAGTGTGTGTTGTTCCCCTCTATGTGTCTATGTGTTCTCATCATTTAGCTCCCATTTATGAGGACACGTGGTATTTGGTTTTCCGTTCCTCAGTTAGTTTGCTTAGGATAATGGCCTTCAGCTCCATCTATGTTGTTGCATTGTTGCATAGGACATGATCTCACTTTTTTTACGGCTGTGTAGTATTCCTTGGTATATACGTACCCCATTTTCGTCATCCTGTCCCCTGTTGATAGGCACTTAGGTTGACTGTATATCTTTGCTACTGTGAATAGTGCTGCTACGAGCATGCACATACGTATGTCTTTAGGATAGACAAATTTATATTTGGCTATATACTAAATAATGGGACTGCTGGGTCAAATGGCAATTCTGTTTTAAGTTCTTTAAGAAATCACCAAACTTTGTTTCATACTGGCTGAACTAATTTACATTCCCACCAGCAGCGCATAAGTGCTTCCTTTTATCCACAACCTTGCCAGCATCTGTTATTTTTTGACGTTTTAATCATAGCCATTCTGACTAGTGTGAGAAGGTATTTCATTGTGGTTTTGATTTGCATTTTTCCAATGATTAGCGACTTTAAGCTTTTTTTCATATGCTTGTTGGCCACATCTTTTAAGAAATGTCTGTTCATGTCTTTTGCCCACTTTTTAATGGGATGGTTTGTTCTTTGCTAATAAATTTGTTTAAGTTCCTTACAGATTCTGGATATTAAACCTTTGTTTGATGCATAGTTTGCAAATATTTTCTCACATTCTATAGGTTGTCTGCTTACTCTGTTTCTTTTTCTGTGCAGAAGCTCTTTACTTTAATTAGGTCCCATGTGTCAATTTTTGTTTTTGTTGCAATTGCTTTTGGTGTCTTTATCATGAAGACTTTGTCAGGTCCCAGGTCCAGATTAATATTTCCTAACTTGTCTTCAGGGTTTTCATAGATTTGGGTTTTACACTTAAGTCTTTAATCTATTTTGAGTTGATTTTTGTATATGGTAAAAAGGTAGAAGTCCAACTTCAATCTTCTGCATAGGCCAGCCAGTCATCCCAGCAGCATTTAATGAATAAGGAGTCCTTTCCCCATTGCTTGTTTTGTCAACTTTGTTGAAGATCAGATGGTTGTAGGTGTGTGGCATTTTTTCTATGTTCTCTAGTCTGTTCACTGGGCTATGTGTCTGTTTTTGTACCAGTACCATGCTGTTTTGGTTACTGTAGCAGGACACAGCACAAAAGAAAACATCAGACCAATATGCTTGATGAATATAGATGCAAAAATCCTCAACAAAATACTAGTGAACTGAATCCAGCAGCACATCAAAAAGCTAATCCAACACAATCAAGTAGGCATTATCTCTGGGATGCCAGATTGGTTCAACGTACAGAAATTATTTTGAACATCATATAACTTCCTTTGTGATGTGTCGGTTCAAATCCTATGCTCAGTTTTAAATTGGACTGTTTTATCTTTTCATTATTACACAGTATTTTTTTAAACAGAATAATGACAGGATCAGATTCATGTTCTTGATGGTTCTTTTTTGCAGCCTCAAGGAGGACAAACTGGAGCAAAATTACCAGTTAAGAGGTGAGGGTTGCCACTCTTAAACTCTTAGCTGGTCATCCAAGGGAAGGTGAAGATAGCCTGGGCTTGAGGGGAGATAGAAGGAATAATCTGGATTCAAAAAATACCAGGAGGGAAGACTTCAGGCATGAGGGAGTGAGGAGATCAACAAATCCTCTCCTCAAAAAGCAACTATAAACGTGGACAAAAAGTCAGTCATTTCAGGAAAGTAAATTGATTTCGGCAAAGACAGCCTGAATCCATGGCATTTTTGCCCAAGGCTGCTTTCATCTTTCCCTTCCAGAAGTCTGTCAGATTGCTCAATCGGGGCAAAAACCAGCAATGGTGTATGACTGCTGGGTCATATGGGAAGTCTATGTTTAACTTTACAATAAACTGTCAAGCTCTCTTCCAAAGTGGCTGTACCATTTTGCATTCCCACAAACAGTGAATGAGAGTTCTTGTTGCTCTGCATCCTCCTCAGCAATTGATATTATCAACTTTTTGGATTTTAGACATTCTAACATGTGTGTAGTGGTTATCTTGTTTTCATTTCCCTAGTGAGAAATGATGTTGAATATCTTATTTTCCTATTTTATATTCTTCTTTGGTAAAGTCTGTTCATATTTTTTGCCCATTTAAAAATTGGGGTTGTTTGAGGTCTTACTGTTGACTTTTATGAATCCTTTTTTTTTTTTTTTGAGATGGAGTCTTGCTCTGTTGCCCAGGCTGGAATGCAGTCCCAATGGTGTGATCTTGGCTCACTGCAACCTCTGCCTCTCTGGTTCAAGAGATTCTCCTGTCTCAGACTCCCAAGTAGCTGGGACTACAGGCGCCCACCACCACATCCAGCTAATTTTTTGTATTTTTAGTAGAGATGGGGTTTCACCATGTTAGCCAGGATGGTCTTGATCTCCTGACCTCATGATCCACCCCCCTTGGCCTCCCAAAGTGCTGGGATTACAGGTATGAGCCACTGTGCCCAACCTCTAAATTCTTTATATCATTTGAATACAAGTCCTATATCAGGTATATAATTTTGCAAATATTTTCTTCAAATTTGTGGCTTGTCTTTTTCTTTTCTTCATAGTATTGTTCATAGAACAAAAGTATTATGTGTACATCTACACAGAAACCTGTATGTAATGTTTAAAAATGTTTATAGCTGGGCACAGTGGCTCACACCTGTATCCCAGCATATTGGGAGGATCACCTGAGCCCAGGAGCTTGAGACCAGCCTGGACAACATAGCAAGACCCCATCCCTACAAAAATTTTAAAAGTTACCCAAGTATGGTGGTAGGTATCTGTGATCCCAGCCACTCAGGAGGCTGAGGTGGGAGGATTGCTTGAGTTCAGGAGGTCAATGCTTCTGTGAATTGTGTTCACATCACTGCACTCCAGGCTGGGAAACAGAGTGAGATCCTATCTCAAAAAAAATGTTTATAGCAGCTTTAGTCATATTCACCCCAGACGGGAAGCAACTAAGGTGTCCTTCAGCAGGTGAATGGATAAACAAAGTGGTACATCCATACAATGGAATATTGTTCAATGCTAGAAAGAACAAACTACCAAGCTATGAAAAACACAAAAGAACTTTAAATGCATATTGCTAAGTGAAAGAAGCTATTCTGAAAAGGCTATATACTGTATGGCTCCAATTATACGGCATTCTGGATATGGTAAAACAAATCAGAAGGTTGTACTAATAGAAAATAGATTAGGGTTGAGGAAAGGGGGAGTGGCTGACTATCAAGGGCCTGTACGGAAGTTCTAGTATGGTGATGAAACTGTTCTGTATGGTACCTGGGTGGTGGACACATGACTCTATTCATTTGCCAAAACCCACAGAACTATATGTCACAAAGACTGAACTTTAATGCCTACAAGCAAAACATCAACTAGGTGGGTGGGGGACTCCCAGGATGGAATGCAGACTATGACAAATGAATCTAACTCCATTATAAGTGGGTGGCATAACTGTACTAAATGGATGAGGAAGGTAAAGGAAATGACCTAAGTAACTTTAAAAAGCAGCAGTTTCACTGGAAACTGTAAGGTAAAGACAAAAGAAACTAAACATAAACACTGGACTCTAGTTGGTAAAGTTGTTTCTCCTGGGGGTATGAGTTAGCAGTTCTGATGCTCTATATATGTATACCTGAATTGAGCAAGACAGTAAATGGATGACAGGTAGTAGGAGCTAGGTGTCTCACTGTCAGAGAGGAAAGTTATAGGAAAGCAAAAAAGGAAGATCAAAATAATCCTCTGGCACTAGATTACAGTTGGAGATATAAGTATGAAGTCATGTTTAGGTTAATATACCTGCTGATGGTTAAAACAAATGATTTTGGATACGTGTGCATATATGGTCTTATGGATTGAACATTTGTATCCCTTCTCCCAAGGTCATACCTTGAAATCCTAACCTCCATTGTGATGGTATTAGGAGGCGGGGTCTTTGGGAGTTAATTAGGTCATGAAGGTCGACCCCTCCTGAGAGGATTAGGACCCTTATAAGAAGAGATGCCAGAGCTCCCTCCCCACTCTGTCCTCTCCACCAATCAGGGACACAACAGGAAGACAGCCATTTCCAAAACAGAATATAGATCCTCACTAGATACTGGATCTACCAATGACTTGATCTGAGACTTCCCAGCCTCTAGAAATGTGAGAAACAAATTATCACCTAGTCTGTGGTAATTTGCTATAGTAGCCTGAAGTAAGACACATTAGTTAGTATATATACATATATTTCCTATCTCTGTCTGCTTAGACAGTCTAGAAGTAGCGATACACCACTAGGCAATGAATACTCAGATCTTGGTTTCTAATACCATTCTCTTTCCCAGTGAAACAGAATGACATACAAAATGGACACCAACAAAATAAATCCAAGAGGCAACAGTTGTCAGAAAGAAGCAATGAATGAGACTTATGGATGAGACCAGTCAATGAGTCAGAAATGTGCCCAGGAGGAAAGAACATTAAGGAGAAGGTGATCGCCAAAGTCAAATGCTACAGGGGCCATACAGGACAGAGCACTGGGACCCTCAGGAAGCCACTGGAAACCACAGTGGGAGTAGAGGCTTGCATACTCTAGGGTATAGATGGCAGTGGGACTATGAGGAGTTGAAACATTGGCCTCAAGTTTTTCAAAGTGCTATGGAAAGAAGTCTGTTGGCAGAAATGGGGGATGATCAGAGTCCAGGCTAGGCGGGAAGGAAATAAGGGTGGAGAAGGAGGGCTTATAGGCCATCACCTTCTTAGAGAAAGTCAATAGGACCTGTTGGCAAAAGACTGTCATCATCACCTATAGGCAAAATGTGGGGCTTCTACAGGGTCAGCAAGAAGTCTTATTGAGAAAAAAACCTGTAACAAATAATGTATTATTTAAAAAATACACTCTAAAAGTATAGCTGAATCTCTCTGCCTAAGACCAAAGCCTGAAAAATGCATTAATTAGGATCCTTTTCATTCTAAAGATCATAATTTATTGAAATGTGATATTTTACCTTTGCTCACAGCAGTAGCATATTTTTGTGCAAAGGACAGTGCCTGAGAATTCTATGGTGTGCTTATCATAACCATGTGTCAGTTTCACACTCGTCCTTTTTTCCATGACCCCCTTTATCTTCTTTTCCTGACACCTATAATGGCAGAGGGTATAACTTAAGCTAACTATTGATTATACTTTACAAGAGAAGTTCAAATATGAGTCTAATTAAAGAATTTCTGAACACTTCTTCCTTGCTAAAACATGCATTTTTAATAAGGAAAAGCCCCTGACATGTCATTCAGACTTTCATTCATGTGTGTGCTTACACACATGCCTACTGCCCTCCTCTCACCACCTGGAAATACCACTTATCACCTAGGAGTAATTGGCTAATTTGCTGGATTTGCCCTTTAAATGTTCCATGTTCTCCTGACACCTATGGGTTTCATTAAGAGGCTTTTAGAACTTTTTACTAGATGACTCTGTCTGAAAAGGTGTTTCGAAGGACAAATTTGACTGTGGTATCCTTTCATCGGAAGAGAACATTGTTCCCATATGAAAGGCACACCATTCTTGGGAAAAAAGAGCAAACACTAGTAACCACAGCCAAGACTGTGGTTACAACCAGATACACCCATAACTTGTCACACACAAAACCAGGTATCACAGCAATTTGCCATCACAACAGGTTACAACCGGAGTTACTACCACAACTTACCATTGTAACATGTTGCTATCACAACAGATTACAATCACAAGTTACAATCACAACAGGTTACAACCACAAGTTACAAACACTGCCTTGTCTTGCCACATCAACAAATCTGGCTAGTATTCCCTCCATACTTGATGTATACTATGATGAAAGGTTTCAATCATTGGTAGTTTGGGGTATTAACACTATCTGGCCTTGGGGAGGACATGACTATTCTGGGGTAACATGAGGAAACTTCTCAGTCGTGATGGAACAGTTCTGCCTCCTAATTATGGTGATGGTTACTCAAATCTACACACATAACATTTTACAGGACCTACTCACACCCGCTCCCACATGCATATCTGAATGCACACAAATCTGATGACATCTGAACAAGGTCTGCACCTGCCTTAACAGTATTGTGCTAGTGTTGATTTCCTGGTTTTGACAATGACTATGGTTATTTGAGGAGAAGCTAGGTGAAGTGTACACAGGAACTCTCTTGAAGTATTTTTATAACTTCTTGTGAGAACCATTTCAAAATCAAAAGGTATTTAAAAAATATATCTGACTTGCTATGGGTCTCTTAAAAAAATGCTTGTCATGATGAGTTTGCTCCTCCCATCCCAAGAAAGAATGAGTCTCTTGAGGTTGAGAGGGCTGTTTTCAGGGTCCACTGGCCCACAGCCATCATCATTGGTGGCGTGAAACAGGGACCCGTCGGCACTGTTGCTTAAGGAACATCAGAGGAAACATGAGGCTTTTCCAAGATGGTTATAAATCCCCACCCTTGAACTGCATGGCTCACATCATTCCAAAGGAACCCCAACTGGCAGGCTGGAATGCCTGGGAACTACCACTCATTTCCCAGAGGCCCAATTAATCTGGTTGCTGCAACCTTTTCACCCGCATAAGGGGTGTGTTGGCACAAATCAATGCTCCTACCTTTACCCTTGTCAGGTTTGTATTCTCCACCCCCCAATATGTCTTCAAGATCCTTGTCTGAAAAACCTGGAGAAAATAAAACATACATTTCAATGAGAAGAAAACATTTCAGCAACAGGAAACTTGTGTTAATGTTGCCCAAGGTGCGGAAAATGATTGCCAGTTCCACTTAAGAATGTCCTTGATGAAATTTTAAGAGCCCCCCAGACCCCGACCCACTGGTGTACATGTGCCAAATAACGTCCCACCAATCTGAGTGTAAGTGGAACCACAGAGAGGATGGCTATCACCCTCAGGACTAGGTTAGATTACATGCCAAAGGTGAAGGGATTTTGCAG